GGATCCCAAATATGATTTAAGGTATATTCCTTACACCACACCGTTGCCATGGCTTGGCTTGGCTTTCATCGTTTCGAAGGCTCCTGCTGCGGAGCAGCAGTGGGACTCGGGCCATGGGACGGCCCGGAGCGCATAAAAAACATCTTATTTTGGGACCCTTATTATAAGGAACCTATCATTTAGGGTACTATACTTACTAGGGTGCCACTGGCGCTGCCGATTACAAAAATTGATGAGATGGCTCGTGAGCTTATCACCCCTTCCTACATGTCACGTCCTATTCAAATTTATGGTACACCCGAAAGCCCACACCCGAGCTGCTCAGGTAGCACGGTATTACATCCACCGTGAGTTCTACCATCTGCCTTCGTTCAGGGTTCGCATCCATAAGTGATGTTTCCCTTCTATCCGAAACACTCCTGCTCTCATTGGCAACCTTTCTGCAATTGCAACATAGGCAGTTAACATGCCAAACTCAAAACTTTCCGGAATTTCCACAAAATCAAAAGTTACAAGATGGCGAATTTAGGTACGACAAGTGGCAAAAGGCATGCCAACCCCAAGGGCACACCATTTTCCAAGAAGGAATGCCAGCCGCCAAAAGGGGCATGACAATGAATGCTAAAAAACCATCTGCACACGTGTCAGACATCACGTGTCTGGAAGGTGCTTCTTCGCGCGTGCTGTGACGTGCCTGTGGATTTTGGTGGTTGAACGACAGAGAGAGAGGGAGAGAGAGAGAGAGAGCGGCAGAGGGAGAGAGAGAGAGAGAGAGAAAGCAGAGGGAGAGGGAGAGAAAGGAAGACAGAACTGGGCAGGGATGGAGGGAGGGAAGAAAGGTGGATGCACCGGCGATCAGGCTGCATGTTACATACTCCCTCAAATCGAACAGTTACCCGAGAAGTGTTCAACTGCAAAAACGATGGCAACTTATGCCTTTTCAATGCACACATACTGGTTCGTCCGATATTTTTTCGTAACACAAAGATATCCCACACGTGTTCACATGATTCAATGGTGATGATGATTTGGTTGTACACTACTGCAGTAATGAGACCCGAGTAGATAATCACACGTGAGCTAGATTTTCGAGACTGCCGTTGGTTGGATTGAGAAGCAGACAACAACAATAACGAAACGCAACAACGTAAATATTCAATGATGACGCAATCACAACATGTTAAAACCATGGCATCGGTATTACTTGTCTGAATCGTAAAGGTCTTTCTTGGCATCCAGAGGGATTCTGTGGGCTTTGACGGGGAGTGGCAAATTTACAGTCACCTGTCTGGTAGGGCTTTTGCTTCAAGCAGCAAAGGGGTAAAGCTTGCAAAAGGCCGGAAGATGTGTTCTTATGTTCGGTCTTTAAGCGAGTCGCCCCCCCGGCTTGGGCGCCAGATTGAAATGAGTCCCCAACTTAGGCGAGAACGCGAAGCCGTAGTTATGAAAGCAACCTTCCGGAAACCAGAACTCATGCGCTCTTTAGCCCGACTGTTTCGAACGGTGCTTCGTCACGTGCGCTCCTTCCCACGAGCGCACACGCTGCACGACAGCCTCGTGAGACATCGTTGTGAGCCACTGCCGCATTTCGTCGTAATCCCTCTTCGCTCTGTGAGCCGTTGCTCTGGAAGGGCCAACGCAGATAGTGTTGAGGCTTTCAAGCTTCGTCCGTGCTGTGAAGTAATCTTTGTGACGTCGGACACCGGTCGGCAAGGCCTCCGCAGGAATCGCAAAAACATCTTCGCCGTGCTGATTCTTGCTGTGCAGCTCGCACATTTGCCACAAGCGCAGGCCCCGAATGCTGCGCTGCCGTTCTGCAGCACTCATGGTGGGGAACACTTCTGGATGTTCCTCTAAGTAATCTATGACTTGCTTGCTTGTGGCTTTGCCGCCCAACGATTCCATGGCTTTCATTACTGCCTCCTTTGCACCTCGGCATGACTCTTTTGGTCCACTTCGGAGAATCTTCCCATCTTGGGTGGCAGAGGGCTCCTGGAGATCAGCGATCGCCTTCTGGATAGCAAGCCACGAAAGACCAGCAGCAGCCAAGTGAAGGTCACCCACCTGCCGTTGCGAAGGCTTTCCACTATGTTGGTTGTGGTCAGGGCCAGGAAACTGATGGTTTGGATGACGGTCATGCAACTGTTGATGGGGCGGAGAAGACGAAAATGATATTGACGATGGCGATGCAGGTAGTGGAGTGCTCATGGTGTGTCTGTGATGCTCGTGATGGTGATGACGATGACGATGACGACAAGGACAAGAACTATGGTGCTGCCTACTCTGCCGATGCTGCTGCTGATGTATCTGCTGCGGAAGCAAGTTGCTGACAATGCTGATGTTGATGTAGAAAGAAGGCCAATAATGGAGTGCTGTGGTGGGCAACGGCGAGCGTGCATCGTCTACATTATCATTATTGCCGGCGCCGTAATTTTCACCATAATCGTCATCATCATCATTTAGAACTTACCGTGGTACTCTTAGTCCTACCTGTATCGCCATCGCCAGCATCATGTAGATGACCATCACCACAATTGGACGACATCGTTCTCTTCATCATCGCTGTCAAGTTTATCTTGATCCTGATCGTCGTCATGGCCACGGCAGCATCACCTCATGACCATATCATCATCTCCAGCACAGGCGATAACCATGATGCCGCTACACTATGCGTGCACAAATGCTGCCATGCTGCTGCTGGCTGCTATCACAACACTGCTAAAGTAACCAGCAGTAGCAACAGGAACAATAACAAAACAATAACAACGACAGCAGCAGCAGCAGCAGCCGCCATTACCCGCAGCCATCAGCAACAGCAACAAGCAACAGCAACAGCAATATCAAAAGGCAGAAACAAGCATCGTCAAAAGCAGCAAACATATCAAGGCGACTAACAACAACAATAAAAACAGTCCTCGTACTAATACTAATACTAGTACTAGTACTAGTACTAGCACTAGTACTAGTACTACTACACTACTACTACTACTACTACTACTACTACTACTACTACGACTACTACTGCCGGTGATGATAGTAGATTGCAGTAGATGATGATGCACGTGCAGATGCACATAAGGGCGACTTCGAAGTCACTGATAACGAAGATGGCGATGATGACGGTTAAAAGAGTCGATTCACAGGATCATGCTGATGGACTTGCAAAGCAATCGGTGAGCTGCAGGAAGCGCAGAAAAGTTGATCCAACGCACGGATCCACAGCACTTCGTTTGTCTTGGTACGAACTTCATCATGCCTGCCTTATCCATGATACGACAATTGAGACTTTCAAGCCTTGGCTTCAAACCTCGACAGTTGCCGATTGATGTGGTCCAGGAGGGTGTGGATCTCGCCACAATCGAAACTCATGTACTTCCAGTCGTGCAGCAGCTGCAACAACAAGGACCTTGCACGGCGCTGCAGATTCGCCGACGCTTCCCCGATTGGGGCGTCGGAAGCGGAGGCTGCGTCGTTCTCTGAACTCTCGTTGCAAGCCGACTTGCGAGGAGGAGATAAAGCAGCTGCAACTGTGTAAAGCATCTCTGCAAGTTTAGACTGGTTAGCCATTCTTCCGCTTTTTCTGTCAAGCTCGAGTTTGCCAAGACAAGCCAGCCTCTCCTCGTTGACCATGTTTGTCCACTCGTTCATCTTATTGAAGAGGTGGCGTGGTGACTGCCGGCTGTCGCCAACCTCCTCACCGGCTTCGGAATCGATTGCACTTGGCTTCGACGGCTTCAGACTGCACTTCCGGAAGCTCTTGCTCTCGAGCGTCTCGTTCGACTCGGCCTCAGCCACGTCTTCATCTTTGGTAACCGGAGCTGTTAGATGTTCAGCATCGCATTGCATGAGCCAATCGAGTTCTTGCACAAGCTTCCTGCGCATCTGTTCCCAGGCTGGATTGGCTGCAGTGGCACGTTTCAGCACAGATTGCACCTTGGGAAGGATGCTTCGAAGTGAAGTCGACAAGCGTCTGCCGTCGTCAACATTCGACAAAAACCTTCGCAGCAGGTCCATCTCTGTGATACCAGGAACGTAGCCCCGAGGAGCATATACGAGCCATGCAGCCACATGAGCTGCCCAGATCCGAGCTCGTCTGCTGGCCAGGTTACTTTTTGCTCTCTCCATGGCTTCAAGCAGCATGCATCTCTTGTGCCCTGCTCTGTGGAATCTCCGGGCGTGTGATTGTAATCTCATCTTGCGGTGATTTCCTTTGGCTGCGGACCGGTTTAGCTCGCCCACTTCGGCGCGGAGCTGCGGAGGCTCATGGGGGCCGGGTGAAAAAAGCAACACCACCCTTGCCTAGATGTGGAAATCCGTGGAAACGAGTCATGCCTGAAGCACGTTCCGCTAAAGTGCAAAACTCAACTTTTGGGCATTGTGCCGACATCCGCCCTAGAAGTGTCTGTAGGCGTGACAATGCACGCTGCAGAGATGGCAGCAGGAAGAAGGATGCACAGTATCTGTACCAGGACCCTTGTGCATGCAAAGCATAAACCATGAACCGCCATGTCCCGTCACAGGGTGCCTCTCCTGGATCCTTAACAAAATTAAGCAACAAAGGAGAGTAGACTCGCAACAGTGGCAAGGCAAACAGGGCCTCCAACTGCCCATGCCTTCGACATCGCGAAAGAAACCGCAAGAGAACGAACGACCCCCTTGTAGACAGCACCGAGTCACCCCATTGCCAGTGGCCACTGCTCGGCTTTCTGGTAGGCACTGATCCTGGGCTGGGCTTTAGCTCTTGCAGCTCCAGACTGCTGAGGATAGCTCTGCCGCGGCGCGCTGAACTTGTGAACGTGGCGCATCCGCCCGCCCCGCCTGCCTACTTACTTGGGCAGGAAACATGTAAAAGCACACCTCTTCCCCTTCCGTACGTGCCCGCTGCAAGCTTCATCTCCCGAAGCCTGAAGTTCGTCCTATCCCTGTATCTCGTCACACAGCGAGCTCTTGACGAGTGGCACGGCATTGCAGGTGAACAGGTTCGCCTGCCCAGAACAACCATCCAAACTACTTGTGGCAACTCGGCAACCGGAAAAGGCCAATCTATCTTTTGTTCATGGCGCTGTTGTAAAGCGGAGTCGAAAGCAGGACTATGTGGTCTACGGTAGATGCTTTCACTGTCTTCGAGTAGGTGAAGCAGTAGAAACACGCAGCCACACCTGAAGAGCCCCATGTCCGCAAGTTCTTTGCAGCTCTGCTCTTAAGTGCCTACCTCCAGCTGATCTGCTTCCATGGCATGGAGAAGGGCATGCACATGGCGCCACTGCCTGAAGGATCTCACGCGAGCATGTAGGGCAGAGGTCCAGGCAGCATCCACAGCAGCGGCAGAAAATTTGGCAGTTTATGGGACAGCATCTTGTGTCGACTCGGCCGCCCTCTGCACGATTCCACGGTGTCGTGGCAGAACTGCCCTCATTCTCTCAACCAATGCCCCATCAAATCATGACGGGGAGCAGGCACTTGCCGCAAGCAGTGATGAGAGCGTTGTAGGTGATCACCTATCGAGAGGAGGCTGCTGCAAAGGCCTTTCATGTCCCGACATCCTTAAATAGCCCCCGGCACAAGAAATCCCTGACTCGCTTCGAATGGGCAAACCCGCTAAGATTCGTAGCTTTCGGAGGCCTAGAACCCTAAACCCTAAACCCCATTTTTTTTTCTAAGGTTCGGGGTATACTCTGCTATAAATCCTAGCACCCAGAAAGCCCAAGGAACCCCATAATTAAGGAATATGCCTTCAATCATAATATTAGGGCTCCTATAACTTAAGGTCTATTCCTGATTTAAGGGGTAAGTTGGGCTCTCTGGGGAATCCCTAAACCCCTTCTATAAACTCTAAACCCTAAACCTATCAATTCCGAAAAAAACCCTTTCTCGGTCCAGGCAAGGAGCGCTTCCGCAGAGGCCGACGCCCAATAGAACGGAGAAGAGCGCCAAGGCGCGCTGCCACTGCCAGCCTAAAGAGAGCTAAAGCAGACGGCTCGCCGCTCATAATATAATATAATATAATATAACATAATATAACACAGTATAATATAATATAACACAATATAATATAATATCACAATGTGGAGGGAGAATTTGAAAAGGGCTCTTCTGATGGATGTTTCGGACTGACCCCTAAGTTCTACCTAGCCCGTTGCCTTGTTCATTCCGGTTCTGGCCCTATCCATCGGCACACACGCACGCATGTCGTGCGAAGCACGACCAATCATCCCTTTGTAGCGAAGGGCATCATGAGTGTCAACAGCTGGCCAATTTCCGAATGCTGTGGTCCTGGATAACAGGTGATATTAGCACATGAGGTTGACAAAGGGTGGTAAGCATGAGGAGTTCTTTTCTGAACGCCTCGCCTCGCCTCAGTGCTGACCTTATTCAAACCGCACTGGAGTGAGCAAGCTTGATGCGAAGCACTGAAAGATCATGAGCCGAATCAGCGGGGACATACACGGCAACAACTCGGCCGTCTATCCACCTGCATGCGATTCAGGGGCTCTTCTCGCAAGCACTGATCGCAGCATTGTAGGTGATTGCCTGGATACCGTGAAAGACCAATGCTAGGACCCGGGTCCTTCAGCTGCTTTGTCCTAGTTGTGGTGGGTCCTAGTTCCTTGTCAATGGGCCGAGAAAGGGGCCGAGTTGTGGGTAACGGCTCGCCTTTTTTGGGGTGGGGAAGGTTTGCTAGAGCTCCGGCTCATCCGAAAGCTAAGGCGTCGGAACCACAGTTGCTGCGCCTCCATTTGAAGACCACTCTCGCGAAACTCCTCGCAGTGAGGGAGACATCCGCCCAGTCGCTGACCGAGAAATTTTGAAGGCGAAAGCCAAGACATGCAGCATACAAATCATGCCAGCCATGCGCTAATCGACCGAAGGACGGTTTAGACATCCTGAATGTTCGAGCGACTACATGTACTGTATACACGCATTCACAGGCCTACATGCTTCGCTGGCAGTAGGCCACGGGCAAAAAAGACCGTAGCAGTGCCCGGACAGCAATAAATCCAGCCCAGTTGAATCGGAGCCAATCGCAGCCCTCTTGTCCTGCAGCAGCGCCAGCGCACGCTCCCACTGCTTCCCTTTTTCGCCTTTGGCTGCCGCGTCAGGGTTATTGGAAAATAAGGATGTAGGAAATCACGTTCATACGCTGCTCGCGTCGAAGCTCCGTCGAATCCGGCCCCGAGGAGTTTCAGCCAAGCTGCATGCGCTGATGGCTGCGCTCAAGGTGAAGGCATCTTCCTGGAATTGTGTGATGCCAACTACCGTCCACGTCAAAAGTGGTGAGTCCGCAGAAGCTCCAGGTCTGCATGAGAGACTTGCATCATCCCTGCGCTGGGCTGTTGGGGTCTAACAATTTCTGGGTCCTCGGTATCTGCCATATTCTGTGTGCATGTGACGAGCATGTACTCCTGTCGAAAGTCATACGTACTGAAATAAAAAAAAGGAGCTCACTGAAGAATGTTGCATCGCAGGCACCCCCGAAGCGACACATTGTGCCAGGGCTGAACCCACATGTAACGATTGCAATGCAGACGCCTACCAGGTGATTGTTTTCGGTCCTGAGCTTTGGGTTGAGACGAAATGAGAAGTACTGGTACCAGCAGTGAAACTATCAATAGCACACAAGCAATTAACCTTCCCTCAACCTAAATTGCTAGAGGGAGTGTAGGACGCTGTTGCTGTGCAGGTGCTTCCAAAGCACTGCTGCGGAGCTCCGCCAGCACCGTCAGGGCCTGTACTGAAGGGTCTTTCGACACCGCGCGCATTCAAACAGACACAGCGATAATGTCTATCTGTCTATCTCTCTTCTATATACATATAGATTTGTATGTGTACATACATTGTACAGGCATATATCAACAACAAACCATGTTCTGTTCTTACATATAAAACCAAAAATAAACATCATAAACACCACACAAACATGAATATCAATTCATTTCTGGAGAATGTGTCGGAATACAGGCCCATGGCTTTCAGATAAAATGAGCAATGATTGATCTATGTTCATGATTTTTTTGCGATGCTATCTGTGAATATAAGTGAACATATAGATACATATGTATAGGTATGTATACACATATATATATATATATATGTATGTATGTATGTGTATGTTTTTAGACATGTATATATACACGCACATACATATATATATATATATATACACATGCATATAGTAACAGCATGATATAATCTAACATAGTAGAATATGACATAATAAAGCATAACATAATAGAACATAATATGATATAGTGTAACATAATACAATATAATATGATATGTAATCTATTATAGTAATGTATGTATATGTATATGGAGACGGTGCATGCGCATATCTAAGCGGATGTATGCACATAAGGAGCATGCAGCTATGCGGACGTGCATCGACATCCTGATACTTCCATCCACCAACCCGGTACCCACCCTCGTCCGAAATAGCACACGTACAAACATGCGCATGAAACAACGACAAGGATTTCACTGGAGGCCTTGTTGCTACAAATCCTGGCCATACTGACAAGACATGCATCATCGGTCCACATTAATTTGAATCTTTCGGCACATCTGCCCGTCGCATCTAGGCAAGCTGCTCGTGGCCAGTCTTCCGCTTTCTCCAAAGCGCTGATGATGGCATTGAAAGTGATGACCTCGGACGTTTGGCTCCATTTGAAGGCTTCCATGCCTCTGATCTTCGGCACCTTGCTGTGCTGCAAGGTCGTTTCTAGTGCTGCACGGACCTTCCTTCTTTCAGACACCACAAACTGCTGGCACAGAAGGATTGTGCCTCGCTGGTACTAGTAAACGCTATTGTCGAGCACATCTTTGTCGAACGCTGCGGTGATACTGGAACTTCGGACCTTCTGCCCACCGGACCTCTTTGATTCATCAGTTGCTCCTCGGGAATTCCTCTCACCTGCCAAGACCCTGCAAACAGCTTTCTGAGGCCGCCGCACCCGCCTGGACGATGGTCCGACGTAGCGTTGCAAGGAGCTGTACGGCTTGAGGCCAATCGTTGGCCTCTGGTGGTGTCCAACCCTAAACCCTAAACCCTAAACCCTGAACCCTAAACACTAAACCCTAAGTGTCCAATCACGGGCGCATGATGCACATGGATTGGCAGTTTTTGCTCGTTTGTCTGTGGGTTTTGCGGGTTTTGGGGGTGTGGGGTCCCAGGGTTTGAGTGTGAGGCTTGACATTCTAGTATAGTATAGTATAGTATATTCTAGATACTCTACTATATATAGTATAGTATACTCTACTCTACTATACTATTCTATATTATAATCGGAACTTGCGTGGTAGAATCTTTTTGGGACCTGGAGAAGATGGAGCACGGCCCAAGATTCCAAGCTTCGGTAGGGTCTTCACGACGGGGCGGCAGAACGGCCGCTTGAAATGTGCCAAATTGCAACAGGCGCTTCGTGTCGGGCACAGGAGGCTACTTGGAGGATCATATGTACTTAGAAGAACTATAGGTACCTGATTTACAACCTTAGTGGCGAAGCCCCATGATCCTCCAAGTATTCACAAGCATGCTTGCTACGGGCAGAGGGAAGCGGTGCGGGCCCAAGGGGCACAAGCGCTCACGGCAGCATTGAAGCTGACGACATCGGGCACAGCACGCTCCCTGCGCAGAACCAACTCTTTATGGGAAATGCATTTGGGAATCCAGAGAGCCCAATCTCCCTTAAATAAGGAATATACCTTAACTTATAGGAGCCTTAATATAATGGTTTAAGGTATATTCCCTAATTGAGGGGTATTGGGCTCTCTGGGAATCCAGGCTTGAGCCCCCGAGTCTGCATTTTCTGACGCAAGCGGAAGTCACTGGGACCCGACCCTTATACAGTACCCTAGGATCCTTATTATAAGG